GGTCAGGTTTTTTTTTTTTCTTGTCAGTTACTGATGCAATAACTAAATTATTGTTTAATCTCATCATCAGTTATGCAAAACTTTTAAAATCATGTTTTGCTATCTTGCCCCCATGAGAATCACTTATTCATGCCCATTAAATCAGAAGAAGTTTCGTGTTAACATGCTTAACAATTGGGTTTAAAACCACCGAAACTATTTATTTGCTAGATTAACAGGTCATAACATTGTGTTTCCCAGTTTAAGCGAGACAATGTCTCATACATTACATACGTTTTTAGCCACAGTCTGTGAATTGCTATACAATTCACCCCATTAAAGTGTGCAGTTCAGGCCAGGCACTGTGGCTCATGTATATAATCTCAGCACTTTGGGAGGCCAAGGCAGGCAGATTACTGGAGGTCAGGAGTTTGAGACCAGCCTGGCTGACATGACGAAACCCCATCTCTATTAAAAATACAAAAATTGGGCCAGGCACGGTGGCTCACACCTGTAATCCCAGCACTTTGGGAGGCTGAGGCGGGCAGATCACGAGGTCAGGAGATCGAGACTATCCTGGCCAACATGGTGAAATCCCATCTCTAAATAAATAAACAAATAAATAAATAAATAAATAGCCAGGCGCAGTGGCATATGCCTGTCATTCCAGCTACTCGGGAGGCTGAGGCATAAGAATAGCTTGAACTCGGGAGGCACAGGTTGCAGTGATCCAAGATCGCATCGCGCCACTGCACTCCAGTCTGAGTGATGGAGTGAGACTCTGCCTCATAAAAACAAATAAATAAAATAAAGTATGCAATTCAGTAGTTTCTGGCATATTCACAGAGTTGTGCAACCATTACCACAATCTATCTTAATACAATCTGGTTTTTGAAAAGCTCATTTTATAGCAGCTGCTTATTTTAAAAAGCATTTACAAGGCAATTCTTCCACACCGAAGAGTATCTACTAAGAGTAGGAGTCTTAGCTCTGCATTTTCTTTTTGTTCTTGGATGCTTTTATCACTGCACTTATCTTAGCCCAAAGGCCGAGAAGTGGAAAATGCTTACGTTGCTCTATTACCTTAAATCTGCAGTTTCTTTGCAAAAATATTTGAAGTTACTTATCTATTTTGTAACATTCATTTAGTCAAAACTAGATAAGGGAATCATAACACCATTTCCGGGGCCCCCACAGCATGGTGAAAGCAAACCAACAACAAACAAGGGCATCTCAAGCCCTGTGTGGTAGAATTCCTCGTTCTTCCTTCAGGTGACCTTGGATACAGTACCTGACACATGGACCGGACAAGAATGCAAGAACCAATCCATATATTAAACTTGACTAAAGCTTCACTTTTTGTTTTTTGTTTTTTTTGAAATGGAGCCTCACCTCACTCTGTGGCCCAGGCTGGAATACAGTGACTCACTGCAACCTCTGCCTTCCAAGTTCAACTGATTTCTCCTGCCTCAGCTTCCCAGGTAGCTGAGACTACAGGCATGTGCCACCACACCTGGCTACTTTTTGTATTTTTAGTAGAGATGGGGTTTCACCTTGTTGGCCAGGCTGGTATAGAACTCCTTACCTCAAGCAATCCACCTACCTCAGCCTCCCACAGGGCTGGGATTACAGGCATGAGCCATTGTGCCTGGCCAAGCTTCTTTTGTTGTTGTTGTTGTTGAGACAAGAGTCTTGCTCTGTCACCCAGGCTGGAGTGTAGTGGCATGATCTCAGCTCACTGCAACCTCTGCCTCCTGGGTTGAAGCAGTTCTCTGCCTCAGCCTCCCAAGCAGCTGGGACTATAGGTGCACACTACCACATCTGGCTAATTTTTGTATTTTTGGTAGACATAAGGTATTGCCATGTTGGCCAGGCCAGTTGAACTCCTGGCCTCAAGTGATCCACCCACCTCAGCCTCCCAAAGTGCTAGAATTACAGGTGTGAGCCACCATGCCCCTGGCCTTTTTAAGAATGAAAACAGAATAAGTGGAAGCTCTGGTTATAAATAAAACAGAAGCTTTTAATAAATAAAAGCTCTAATATTTCCTTCGTGCATGCCAGTGGATAGTCTTGCACACTCCCAGAGTACATGAACCCCACTTTGGGGGCACTAGTTTAAGGTTCAAGCAAAAGTGTATGTGAAACCTTTAATTTTGCTTCATTATCACAGCTGAAATGATTCCCAAAAGACATACTATGCCCCAATGTCTGAACTAGCAATATGGGCAAAAAAAACCCAGAAATAATTTCTTGGAAATCTGCATTTGCCTATAGTTAAGCAATGCTTTCCCTGGTAATAAATCTGAATGAGGCAAGCATAGGCCACCCTGGGGGTGGTATAGAGATTTCAACTCATGTGCCAAGTTAGTTGGCAGGTAGCCACTGCCTGGAAAGCTCTGCTGAGAGGATGCCAAGGCCATGTCCAGGGAAATGAAGCGAGATGATCAACAAAAATGTGGCTGGTATACATGCCTCCTACCTCCACCACCATGCTAATCAGACCTTGGCCACTTGCAGCTTCATCCTACCACGTGGTGCCTTCTACTCACATTCCACATCGTGCTTTCAGTAAACTAGGCTTAACATTGCCTCCTCACCAGGTGGTACTCAAGCTGAGAAGCAGAAGGGGATCCAGGTGACCCAGGTGGGGACCCTTTAATAAGAGAAGTCCGTGATCACAACAAATTGGATGGAACAAACTCACACTTCAAATGGGTCTCTCCCTCATGTAACCATAATCAAGAATTTTTTCTCTCTTATGCAATTATTAACTGCTATGGACTGGCAAGAAAAGTCAGTGGGTTCCGGTCCGCTCTTAACAATTTGGCTGATACTCTAGTGAATATCAAACTATTAATCATCTCTCTTCTTCCTCTTCTTAACTTCTTTTTTCTCTCCATGAAGTTAACCCGAACTCTAATAGCAAAGTGGATCCAGATTCTAAGACATACATTGGATTCTGAATATACAACCTCACTTGGGGAAAAATTGTCAAAGGAAAATGGATACTTAATACACTCCCACAGAGGTCATGTTTGGTGGCATTTCCTACATGGGAATGGGTGGAATTAGCACCACAGAACACTATGTATAGCCATCATGTATGTGGCTCAAAAAGAAAGCTATAGCCGAGGGCAGTGGCTCATGCCTGTAATCCCAGTACTTTGGGAGGCCAAGGTGGGCAGATCACGAGGTCAGGAGATCAAGACCATCCTGGCTAACAAGGTGAAACCCCATCTCTACTAAAACTACAAAAAAAAAAAAAAAAGAAAGAAAGCTGAGCCAAGCTTATCATCAAATTATCAGGCACGTGACTTACCGCAGAGGCAGTAGGACACAATAGCGCACTATGACGCCCAGCACCCACACCATAGTGAGCCGCAGACTGATGTAGTGGAAATTTACATTGGTTCTTGTGAGGAGATTCCATGACACTAGCTCCTCTGAGGAAAACCTCTGGGTCACTTCATCTTCCACAATGGCTTCCAATCCCTTCTTGGAGAAATAAAACACGTCAGACAGCTCAAAGTCCCTTCCTCGTAGACCAGAGAGCCCTTTTTCCATGGGTGACTCATCTCTTTGGATAATACCTTAAAAGAAAGCGTCAGGACATGAGAAAATGCCATAGGACAGAAGAATTGACCAAAGCGGCAGCTTTAACTGTGTAGAATTTAAATATGGCAAACAAGTCAATAAGTTTAATGGGTGACATTAGTCGTCGTCAGAAGTAAGAGACAAACAATAAAGTGGGAAATCACTGTGTCTGCAAGAAATGGCCTCTACCCTATGACCTTTATTAATTATATAGAGAAGTTTTGGTCCTTCATAATCCTCTTGCTTGGATTTCTTCCCTGCGTACCATTAGCCAAAGAACTCACACACACACACACACACACACACACACACACAAACTCTCCCCAAGTATAGCTCTAGGCTGTGTAAAAACAAAGACTTCTGTTCTCTCCGACAAAAAGCAAGCAAAATGGCAAAAGATTCACCATAAATAGCAAAAAGTTGTTTTTTTAATATATAAAAATTATTTATAAGAAAATCACAGCTTCCTGCATAAAAGTAAGCAAAGTTCACAACAACAACATAAATATTATAGTTAATATAATACAAATTTTCACTAGTAAAAAAAGAAATGTGAATTAGGCCAAAGCCTATTTACATTATCAAATCAGCAGCATTTTGGTCAATGACTCTTGAAATGACACAAGTACTCTCATATTCAACTTGTAAAAGTATGGAAGAAGTAGCAACTTTGTCAAAGTGGGTTTGGCATGAAAAGACTGAAGACAGTTTTGCTAATGATCGATAATTCCAATTCTAGGAATCTGTCATCAGAAAATAATTAGAAATGTAAGCAAGAATGTTCACTGTAGCATTCTTCATTATAATTAATCAAAACAATGATATAAAATGTATCCATTAATAAATACTATAATGTTAATCAAAAAAAGACTCTAAAACTATAGTTTAACTCTATGAAACACATATACATAGAAAAAAATGTCAAAATGAAAACATTAAGTAGCTATTTCTAGACAACAGGATTAGATATTTCTCTCTATACTATTATTGTCTTTCCCATCAAGAAAATAATTCAATGATTTTTAAAGCAGCATAAATTTTTATGAATTGAAAAATGATTACTATCATTCAATTCTAACTACTAAATACAAAAAATGAGAACGTCTTCAAAGAATAAATAGTAGCTATATACACAGTCATATGATCATTCATTTTCCCAGCACTTTGATAGGCCAAAGCGGGCAAACTCTGGGGTTATCACAAAAGTTTACTTCCGACATTAGGCTACAGAGAAGAATCTTTTCTTTTGAGATAGAGATTAAGGTATTAAATTTCCTGAAAGATCTTTTTTGATCACTTCATTTTCCAGTTTACTAGGAAATCAATAAGGAAAAAGGACAGTGCTATATTACCTATCCCCTGGTGGAGGAAAGGGAAGGGAAAGAGAGGGGAGCGGAGGGGAGGGGAAAGGAGGGGAGGGGAGGGGAAAGGAAAGAGAGGGGAGCGGAGGGGGGGAAAAAGAAGCGGTTTTTTTTTTTTTTTGAGACAGAGTTTCGCACTTGTTACCCAGGCTAAAAGTAAGTTCCAGAATGATAATTAGGTTCTCCTTTTCAGAAGTCAAGTCTAAGTGGTTTAACCTTTTATTTTTTTTTTTTTTTTTTTTACCATCTCCAAAATAGGTTTAATTAGTATTAGAGGATGAACCAAGATAATGTCCCTACTGAATTACCCTCTTGCTCTACTGGCACTGCAATACCACTCAAAACAGGTTACTCAATCCAAGTACTGGCCAGTATTTAGCAGTGCAAGAGTTTCGTTATTTCCTTTTAAGTCTACAGCAGAAGGGAAGAATACATTATTCAGCAAATTTCTGAATGAAATACACTGGGGACAATAGACGGCCTTCCTAAAAATAACCTTTTTCAGAGGGGCCAGAGATAAAAATGCAAGTTCAAGTTGCCCCATATTATTTGACTGAGCCAAGAGAAAAGAGATCTGTAAACAATGCCAGCCCTCCAGCCCCTACACACTTGTTGTACAATGTCTCCTCTGCCTTCTTACCTAGTTTATTCTATGTAACTTAAATAAAATATAACCCAATTTTAAACTTTAGTTAAGCATCTTTCAAAAGTGCATAGGTAACTGCAATGTATCTAGCTGACAAAGGATTCATTTCCAGAATATATTAGACAAACAAAAAATTAAAAATTTCAAAGAACTCTGTTTTAAAAATGGTTAAGAATATAGCAAGCAATTCATAAAAGAGTATCCCGGGCCGGGCGCGGTGGCTCACGCCTGTAATCCCAGCACTTTGGAAGGCCGAGGCGGGTGGATCACGAGGTCAAGAGATCGAGACCATCCTGGTCAACGTGGTGAAACCCTGTCTCTACTAAAAATACAAAAAATTAGTTGGGCACAGTGGTGCATGCCTGTAATCCCAGCTGCTCAGGAGGCTGAGGCAGGAGAATTGCCTGAACCCAGGAGGCGGAGGCTGCAGTGAGCCGAGATCGCGCCATTGCACTCCAGCCTGGGTAACAAGAGCGAAACTCCATCTCAAAAAAAAAAAAAAAACATAAAAGAGTATCCTTATTGATGAAATATTTAAAAGATGTTCTGCCTCACTATAATCAAAGACATGCAAACTAAAACCACAATGAGGCTGGGAGTGGTGGCTCATAACCTGTAATCCCAGCACTTTGGGAGGCCAAGGCGGGCAGATCACTTGAGGTCAGGAGTTCAAGACCAGCCTGCCCAACATGGTGAAACCCTGTCTCTAATAAATATACAAAAAATTAACTGGGCATGGTGGCAGGCACCTGTAATCTCAGCTATGGGGGAGGCTGAGGCCGTTAAACCGCTTAAACCCAGAGACAGAGGTTGCAGTGAGCTGAGATTATGCCACTGCATTCCAGCCTGGGCAACAGAGCAAGACCCTGTCTCAGGAAAAAAAAAAAAAAAGCCACAATGAGATACTCTTTCATACCCATAAGCCTGATAAAGATGTTTAATCTGATAATATGAAGTACTGGTCAAGATGTGAAACAATCATACTAGAAAACCACTTGGCACTATCTAGTAAATCCAAAGACATTCAGAGCCTATGACCCAGGAATGCCACTCCCAGGTATAACTCAGGAAGATCTTTTAAAATATAATTTCAAACGTATAGAGAACTTGCAACAATAGGTCACTTCGCCCAGGTTCACTAATTGCCAACATCTTGCCACATTTGCTTTATTGTTCTATCTTTGTATGTATAAAAAAAATTTTTTTCCAAGCCACTTAGAATATGTAATAAACATCATACCCATTACCCCCAAATACTTCAGCATATGTTTCCTTAGGACACAGAGATTCACTTATTTAACCAAATTATAACTATCAAAATGAAGGAGGTTGATTTCAATGCAATATGAGCATCTAATCTACAGACTTTATTCAAATTTTGACAATTGTCTCGCTAATATCCTTTATAGCGGTTTTTTTTTCTGGTCCAGGATTGCACCTTACATTTACTACATGTCAAGTCTTTTTAATTTCCTTAAATGTGGAAAAGTTCCTCAGCACTCCTTTGTCTTCCAAGATATTGACATTTCTTAAAAGTATGAGCCATTTTTTTAGTAGAGTAGCTCTTAATTTGGATTTGTCTAACATTTCTTCATGATTAGACGCAGACTGTATACTTTCAGAAGTAATAGAATGTAAGGAATGTTGTGTTCTCAGTGCATCTTATCAGGAGACAGTTGGTCATGACCGGTGATGTGTGACTTGGATCACTTGGTTTAAAGTGGAGCTTCCAGGTTTCTTTATGAAACATTAATATTTTTTCTCTTTATGATTAATAAGTAAGTACTTATTATCTATAAGCATCTATAAAGGGGAGATACTTTGAGACTATGTAAATAACCTGCTCCCCATGGATATTTAGGATATCAAGCTTTGTATATTCCAACTTTCACCCATGGTATTACCATCTGTTGGCCTTAACAAATAAGTACTATGTCTTTTAAATGTTATTTTCTCACTCTGTTGGGTGCAGTGGTTCACATTTGTAATCCCAGCACTTTGGAAGGCAGAGACAGGTGGATCACTTGAGGTCCGGAGTTTGAGACCAGCATGGCCAACATCCAAAACCCCTTCTCTACTAAAAATACAAAAAAAATTAGCTGGGCATGGTGGTGCACACCTGTAATCCCAGCTACTAGGGAAGCTAAGGCACGAGAATCGCTTGAATCGGGGGAGGCAGGGGTTACAATGATCCAAGATCATACCACTGCATTCCAGCCTGGGCAACACAGCAAGACTCTGTCTCAAAAGGAAAAAAATAAATAAAAATAAATAAAATAATATTTTCTCACTCCTTCAATCATTCCACATTTATTATTTGGCATTCCACCTTAACAAACTTTTTCTCTTATTCTCCAGAGAGATTCTTATAAAATTGTGCACAAGGAGACATATACAACAACACTGCCACATTGTTTGCTTTAGCAAAATAGTGGAAACAATCTAAAGTCCATTAAGGAGAGACTAGATAAACTGATAGACATATGATGTGAATACAAGAGTTAAAATAAATTAGCTAGAACATTTACCAATTTAGATAATTCTGAAACCATCAGAATGTGCAAAAGTCAGAATGAACACAAAATGATATGTGGAAGACAACATTTTTATAGTTTGAATAATGCAAAACAATAAATACTATGTATGAAGCATATATACATATATAAGGGAAGTATGAAAATATGAATCAAGATAAGCATGAAAGTCCGAGTAATAGTTCCAAAGAGTTGCAGAGTAAGGGATCAAGAAAGGATATCTAGGAGAATTCCACTGTTTCTGTAATGTTGTATTATTAAATGAAGTGGCAGGTACACATGTGATAGAACCAAAAAACAAAACGCTATATGGAACTGACAGTTGTCCCTAAGATGAAAATCTATGCTGTAGAAGAGCAGCTACCAGCTTATGAGTGTTGTAATATTAGGCACACAATATCTGAAAATGGGTACTATTACAAAATTCAGTATCAAAAGGAGCACGACTGAAAACA